TTATACACATTTTGTTTGGCGTTCACTTGGTGCGCAATTCTTTTTTTCTACGAGATTCTATTCTATTTTAAAAGTTTAAGTAATTAAAAATGGATTTAAAATATTGTCTATATCCCGAGTTGCCATCCCCCGTAGTGTTGTATAAGAATAATCGAGAAAGTTTAGGGGAGATCACTCCCGGTTTATTTTTTTACGTTTGCTAAATTACCGGAAAAAAACTATAATAATTTTGAGATTATTCTCGGTTTATTCTATTGGAAATATGAATCCTTTCTTTCCCATAATTTACCCTACATGAATGTAAACAGGAATATTGAAACAGATAAAGACGACATACAGTCCAAAACCCCAAGGACGTTTGGCGCGCAATGACGTCATTGATATCGTGAGGTTGTCGTTTGTCTAAACTATGTCAAAGATTGCATGAGTGATCAAAGATTTTATTATAGAAAACAAATTCGTTTTATTTTCTTAATTTCAGTTCATTTAAAAGCTTGTTATTTTAATTATTTTTACTTGCTCGCATACGAAGTATAGAGAAAGTATTGTAATCGTGAAAAAATAAATCGAGATTTTTGCAAATCTCGACGTTTTACACTTCCTTGAGTCGGAAAAACATAGTTTTGCAATCCTGTTTTGGTATTTCTTTTATATCATACTATGCTTAAACTCAATCACAACCCTTTAAAATCATGTTATGCTAAAACTCAACCAGAAAACCGACAAGCATGAAGCCTTGCTTGGTGAGCAGACGCTACGCCTGAGAAACTCTCAAATGAGTATCTCACTCTTTAGGCAAATATCGATGACGTCAGACCTGATTGCTCGGATTTCCCTGTCGTGAGTTTATCATCACGAGCACGCCCCGCCTCGTCAACTGCTCACGACTCCAAGGCCGCCAGACCAGCCAAGGTTACCCGTACCACCAGATGGCCAATGTTACCCGTTCTACCAGATGGCCTGGATTACAGCCTTCCTGGCAGACTAGCACGGAAAATATTCCGATAATGTAGCACACAGACAGACAGCTGCGCCATGCAGAGTGTAAACAGCCAAACAGTCGGAACACAATTATTGCCGGAAGTTGTTGGGAAACTTGCTGTTTCATGCACACGCATCGAAACCAAAAGTACACCTGATCTGCTTGTGGTCAGGACTCGCTCTATTACCAAAGCATATCAGAAGAATTTTGTTATTTTTTGTTTGTTTTTTACTTCTGGCAAATTAAAGGCTATGAAAAATGGTTTGTTATGTAGAGTTATCTAGTTTGGTACGTGGTACTGTATTACACATCTTTTTCCGCCTCAGATCCCTGCTAGTTCTACAGTTCTGGTTTGGATAAATAATCTTCATTATGCTTGTCTCGTTGTAATTATAACGCTACCAGCCAGCACCAACGAAGGCTTTCAGTTTTTTTACTTTCACAATTATTTAACAAACTTGTCTCGACTGGCAGCTATTTGTTGTCGCTAAGTTTTAATGGGTAATTGGTCCACGTCTGTAAAAATATGTTAACTAAACGATGTCACGTACCAGCTACATGTCACTTCTCCACACATGTAAAAAATATGTCAACTACAGGATGTCACGTCCAAGCTATATGTCATTTGCCCACGCCTGTAAAAATATGTCAACTACAGGATGTCACGTACCAGCTTTATGTCACCGCTTGTAAAAATATGTCAAACAAGTCACTGAATACTTGTCACTATGGGCCAATGGACAACTAAATCTACCACTCCCATATACTAGAGATACCTCTACTTACTGGCTACCAAGGCTAATGCGGTCAGCATGAAACCTTAACCTACATGTACTAGATTGTTCTAGCCACTTAAGAGTGTCCTGGTTCAAGACAAGGTTCACCTGGCCAACCCGCATGTTGATCTCCTGTTTCATAGGGAGGTGGGTGTAAGGTGGATTGATAGTTTGATGACCTGGGCTCTAAAATAAGTACAATACATGGTATTCTGTGTCGAAAATTTTGAAACGTTGCTTTTTATGAATATAAGCATTTTTTTTTCAAAACAGTTTTAAAAAGCAGGATGTTTTTCTTTAAAATTATATTTTAGTCAAAGAATTTTTTAAAATAAATAATTTTTTAGATAATGTTTTAAAAATATAATGCCACTGTAATTTTTCACGTTTCCATCGGCGTAATTACGTAATGTGTTTTTAATCTCTGTAGTAGCCGGTCTGACCATTTGAATGGGATATTTCCTGAATAATAAAAAAAAACATTCCTTTCACTCCCTTTTTTACAACCATTGGCATAGTTTTATATGAGATACTTTTTTTTTTGTCTGGAATGGCAGAAGATGTTTCTGTTTAGTGGGGCCATAATTGCAGGCAGACTTGGACGTTGTTATCTGACCGGCGCTGAGAATGGCCGCCAGTGGCGCTCGAGGCAGCTTGTATCAGCTGGCCATTGAGATAGTGCTCTGGTAGCGCCCTCTCTCACAACAAGCCCACGTGGTTGTCGTCCCTGACCAGAAGAGGTCGCTGTGAGCGAGTCTAAACAAAGACCGTACTCAGGATTTTAGACAATCAGTGAGTAATTTTTCTTTACTCGGGTAATTACTATCATATAAAAAGATTAGACTAGCGGGTGTCATTTTAATAAAACAGAAAGGTTTCACAAATATTTCTCATGAAGGTGTAACAATCATAAGTACCTTAAGTGATGCGAGCCTCATCATTTTTTTTTAAATACAATGTTTAAAAATTAAAACTTTTGATGCAGTGCGGTTGGGGGGATGTTTCTTTAAAATGTTATATAATCTGAGGCGTGGCCGTCTATGGGATTTTTTTCTCTTTAAGACAGGGTTGGGTATAAACTGTTTTGATAATCTTTTGTATTTTGTGCACACACACGATATACCCAAAGTATATATATATATATATATATATATATATATATATATATATATATATATATATATATATATATATATATATATATATATATATATATATATATATATATATATATATATATATATATATATATATATATATATATATATATATATAATGTGACATATCCTACCTCGATAAATGAAGTTGAAAGCATTTTGAAAATGACTATCAAAAGTCTACCCGCTCTTTTTAAAACCAGGAAGTTTAATAAATGGTTTTTTGTTTTAAAGATAATGATGGGTTAGTAATAGAAAATTACCACTAAAAACTGTTTTGTTTCGTCTCTTTATAATATTGGTAATGGTATTTTGCTTAAAAAACTAAAACTTGTTGACTTAATCTAGCAATTGGCGTTTTATTGTCGATTAATCAACAAACCCGGTAGAATATTCTCGAAGTTTGTAGTTTTTTGTTTGTTTTTTTGTCAACCAAGGTCAAATCCAATTCATTTAGGGGCTACAATAATCTGGGGTATGCCACTTGTATCAGGGGAGATAAATCTGTAGTGGTGCTCTTTTTACAGATAGCAGGCTCGGCTGTAAAGTTCATTTTCCTCTCCCTTTGATGATTAATGTGGTTGCACCGTGGACCATAAAATTTTGGCACTTAATAAAAAATATGATAAAATAATGTTGAACCACACGGTGATGTTCGTGATGCGACTGTTTCAATGAATGTGTGCGTCTCCTGTCTTCATGTATAGACCAGTGTTAGAAAGAAAATATACACGTCTTTTGTAAGTTTGTTTTCTTCTTTATTTAAACCTGTCATAATTAAACGAAACAACTCTCAAATATTAATTTATCAATAACACATTACCTTACTGATAAAATCTTGAGGATTCTAAAAAAAATCTTGTGGATTTTAAGACTAAAGATTCTTTTAGACATGATCTGAACATCAAAAATCATCAGGTTTGTTGTGATAGCCTACACTTGTTTGATGCGGTTACCAGCCCTAGTAGATAGCAATAATCAAGGATGGTGTAAAGTCTGAGTTGCCTCGTAGGCTGTTACTTATTTCACAATGATATTCCGCGCTGAAATTACAAAATTTCAGCGGCTCTAGGAATCGTCGATGTTGCATTTTTACTTTCTCGTATGCAGAGTATAGAGAAAGTATTGTAATCGTGCACAAAAATCACATGAAATTTTGACAGTTTTCATCAGTACTTCATCTTATACGATGAATAGATAACTTATTTTAATCGGGCAAAAATTCGAATGCAGATTTATTAAAATCTCGGCGTTCTATGCGTCATTGAAATACTTAATTTTGCAATCTTGTCTGTATATCTGTGTGTATGTTTGAATGTGTGTATGTGTGTATGTTTGCGAACACGATAATTCGAGTATGGTTACAGCTAGGTTGATAAAATTTCATATACAAGTATTACATCAAATGTGTAGTTCTGTTTCAACTTTTCAGCGATTTCCGGTAGCTGGAAGTGGAACTAGTACTTTACGCTATTTTCCGATTCTCAAAAAACGCATATGAATTTGTAAATTACTAATATTCCGCATGGTTTGCTGTTTACTTGGTGCGTTTATAGGTACCATATCAGAAGCTTTTATTTCATACTTAGATTAAACCTTTCAAAAATATCGTATGATAATTTTTTCTGAGTGTGTAGGGGAGGGGTAGTCCTATAGGCCTACATGCCAAAAGCGATAAGATAAGAAATGGGTTTTTAAAAATCCCGCATTAGCGTAAATTGTTATTGGTGGATAAAATATAGGCCAAATTATTTCCGGGAATTACGTGAAGATATATTTAGACTTGGTGTTATAAAATGACAGTTGACAACTGATAAATCCTCCTTATAAAAAGAGGGTCCCCTTAGATATTTTTAATAGGTAAAACTTATCGTGTGGTATATATTTGCTGGATAATTGAAATATTTAACGACACTGATTCTGAATTTACTTTACACCAGTTAATACCCAGTTAACCCAAGGAAACCTCAGTTAACATTAGTTAACATTAGCTGTGAGAAGAAACTCGGAGACGAAACCCTGACAATCAAATCCCAAAATATTATCGCATCAACAAGAGCAGACGACAGATTTGATACAGAAAACATGGCGGCGAATGTTGTGTTAATTTTGGCGGTGATGTCCTTGACTCTTAACCTCAAAGTTTTAAACCTGGGTAGAACTGTCATGGCGTCAGTCGCTGACTCAGCGATACTGACAGAAGCAGGAAAACTGTCAGTGGATACAGGAAAACTGCCATCTATGACAGGAAAACCACTAATCACATCAGAGACAGGGAAAACAACATTGGATACAGAGAAACCACTATTAAGAGATAATTACGTGATCAATGCACTTGGCAAAAAACATTTTCCACAAAAACCTCAAAGAATCGCTAGATCTGCTCACCCCGACCCCACCAGCTCTTCTACTCACCCCTTGGGTCAGGGACGGGACGGGGTGTGGTCACCCACTACTGCAGCCGACAGCGACCCCACCAGGTATTCCACTCACCCCTTGGGTCGGGGAAGGGACAAGGTGTTGTTACCTACTGTGACAGCTGACTTCAAAGAAAACAAAATGGCCGCTGCAGGTGGTGACGAAAATGCAGGTGACACGTCGGTCCTAGTACCAGAAGATTCCAGAATAACGTTGAACATCATTGGGATGTTTGCTTTAACTGGTGAGTTTTGTCAGATAAATGTTCCTGTTGCTTGCATTGACTGGTGAGTTTTGTCAGATAAATGTTCCTGTTGCTTGCATTGACTGGTGATTTTGTCAGATAAATGTTCCTGTTGCTTGCATTGACTGGTGAGTTTTGTCAGATAAATGTTCCTGTTGCTTGCATTGACTGGTGATTTTGTCACATAAATGTTCCTGTTACTTGCATTAACTGGTGAGTTTTGTCAGATAAATGTTCCTGTTGCTTGCATTAACTGGTGAGTTTTGTCAGATAAATGTTCCTGTTGCTTGCATTGACTGGTGAGTTTTGTCAGATAAATGTTCCTGTTACTTGCATTAACTGGTGAGTTTTGTCAGATAAATGTTCCTGTTGCTTGCATTGACTGATGTGTTTGGCATAATTAACAGTGCCATTTTGTTCGTCCCTTCCCCCCTAGGAAGTAAGTCTAGTTACAGGAATTCTCTTAAATAAAGTAATTAAAACTGAAAATTCAATTTCTATAGGATACGTTTATTAAACAAAATGATACAATGTCTTGATAATATCCGAGACAAACTTCCATATCATGAAAATAAATTAAGCAATAAGGTTTCAACCCTTACTTTAAAAAGATTGTTCGAATTAATGACGTTTATATTACAAACACACAAGACTTGATACATCAATTTACAAATAATTTACACAATCTGTATGCACTGTATACACAATAAGCACTCAAAAATTACACAAAATTACACCAAAAGTACACCAAAATTACAGTAAAATTACAACAAAATTACACAAACATTACACCAAATCTACACCAAATTTTACCCCAAAATTACACCACAGTTATACGACAATTACACCAAAATTGCACCAAAGTTACACCACCATTACATCAAAATTAAAGATTATTTACACCTTTCTTACATTATAACTACAACCCCTTTACACGTGAACTATTACACGCCATAACTCTCGTCTTGTCCAGGTATCTACCCAGCAGGCTACGCCTACCTCCCAGCGGCCATGTTGGCTGTCAAACACATCAACGAGAACTTTACCGACATCTTACCCAGCTACAAACTCAAGATCAACGCTTACGACTCGGGGGTATGACGTCATTCATTAATTAACTCTTAACGAATCATTAAATTTATTCCTGTGTCTATAGGGCTGGTAAGTAGGTCACCAACCAGTTCTATGGCTCATGCAGGTTTTATTGAGCCGTAGAACTGGTTGGTGACCTACTTACCAGCCCTATTGTAAACAACTAAAATATGTATTGCCCAAGAAGGTAGAAAATACGACTTGAAATGTATTAATGAGAAGTGTTTTTACTGTATGCCTAGACTTGATATAAAGAGGTGGGGTACCTATAAATGATATTACCACGTTAGTTGAACGGTCCTCTGGTATTGTTCCCCAGTGCAACGAGTCAGCCGGCCTGAACGCCTTCTATGAGGAGATCTACAACCCCAACAGGACGTCAATCATGACCCTCGGGGATACCTGCTCACCTGTCACAGAGGCCACAGCCCAGGTGTCGCACCTGTGGGGGCTTAAACAGGTGAGTGGAAGGTTCACATTGCTGGCAAAACATGGTGGGCTTATGTTGATAAAATAAGTGACAAAACATGGTGGGCTTATGTTGATTAGTGACACGATAAAATTATTGATAAAACATGGTGGGCATATGTTGATAGTGACACGATAAAATTATTGATAAAACATTGTGGGCTTATGTTGATAAAAATAGTGACAAAACATTGTGGGCATATGTTGATAGTGACACGATAAAATTATTGACAAAACATTGTGTGGGCTTATGTTGATAATTGACTGGATGTTTAAAAATACCTAGACAATAAATAACAATTTTGTCTTTAAAATCCAGCATGTGCTGACAAAAGCTCAACTAGTATGAAACAGGCGTGGGTCTTGTGATCAGCTATTTAGACATTTTTTTTCTGGGGTAATGAACTGTCGGAAAAAAAAGAACCTACCCCCCACTCCCACCCCCAAACTCTTGCAGAACTAAACTGCTATTTGATTTTTTTTTTTTAAATTTAACTGACCCTCCTAGTAATACAATTTAAAATGTCTATAAATAGAATTTATGGCTTAATTTAGAACGTGACTAAAGTTAACAAAAACCCTTCAACAAAACGTGACGACTGTAATCTCAACACACTAGACCTACTAAAAGAACAATGACTTACATTTGATTGGATGGCAGAATATACAGGTCCTAAAGGGAAACAACCGCGCCCACAAAGCACTAAAATGACTCGGTGACAGCTCTAATTTCACAGGTCAAAACCCGGTACCCTTCTACCCGTGACGTTATCTACCTTGTTTCTCCATACTCCTCTAGACCACTTTACCTACCCCCCCCCCCCCCCCAGGGAGTTCCCAATCACCGAGGAAGTGTTGTAATGTGCTTAGTTAGGGAGTTCCGTTCCTACCCACTCGGCCAATAAATAAAGTACAGGGAAAAAAATCATGTGAGATAGGTCAAACAGGGGGCATATCCAGGTATTTCCTCAACGTGATAACGCGATATCTCGGGGGCTGGGACGAGACTTTACGTACAGAGATAGGTCCGTTGTTTTATGGTTTATTCCACATAGGCAGAACCGACAGGTTACAAGTTCTAGGGTCCACATCAACAGAATCCACCGTACTTAACTGTTTCGCTTCACATAATCCACAGTACTTAACTGTTTCGATTCACAGAATCCACCGTACTCAGAGGCTTAGCGACCCTTCCCGGCGCCCGGGGACAAACTTTCAATTACACCCCCCTCCCATATATTTTTTTTATATTTATAATGCAAAACTGCAGCTAAAATGAGTTTTTAATTTTTTTTAAAACCCATTTTGGCGCCCCCTGGGGTCTGCGCCCGGGTACATATGTACCCCCCCCCCCGTCGTCGTCGTCGTCCCCTCCCTACGCCTATGACCATATTTAACTGTTTAGCTTTACATAATCCACCGTACTTAGTTTTTTTTAGGGTCTACATAAACTGAATCGTCTTCGTTTTTAGGACTTTTTTTTTGGGTCTACATAAACTGAATCGTCTTCGTTTTTAGGACTTTTTTAGGGGTCTACATAGAATCGACTTGTTAACCTTTTCAAAATGTGGACAGAATGACACTGTTATACGGTATATGAATGACGACAAAAATCGACCGATATATGGTCTTAGAGCGAGCACGAAGCGTTGACCGGTCCAATATCTTAGAGTGTCCACTTCAGCACTTTCACCTGTTGACTGGGATGATCCTTGACCCAGATTCCATCTCTGTATCCCATGCCTGGCACAAGACGTGGCAGGAGATCGATGGTCAAACACTTGACCTTTGAACCCAGTTCCCTCATTGGCAGGAGGAAATGCTTTGATTCAAATGGTATCACGTTTTGTGTAGCGCCCATGGAATATTCATAGCACTAGAGATTAGGGGTACAAAATACGATTTACTTATAGCATTCTTGTAAAGTGGCCGTCCATTCATTGTATCGTTGTACACTTAAAGCATTCTTGTAAAGTGACCGTCCATTGTCTCTTTGTTCTCTGGCCGACCATCCATGGGATTAAAGTAGCACGTTGTTAAAATACCGTCTACAGTATGATTGTCAAGTGGCCGTCCACGGTATTGTTTGACCTCCCATAATCCAACCTCCCTCGTCCCACCTTTTTATCATGGCGTTGACCTGTTTCTTTGACCACGACAAAAGCAGGATTGTTGTGTCCGAGCCTTGTATGGTAACATTGGGTTGACGTTTTCAAAGGCTGAGGATGTGTCCGTTAGTTACTGGAACTGGCCCTAGTCTACATACCACAGCTCATACATTGTGTAGGAAACATGTCGTTTTTAAAAGACATCAAGCAGTCTGACTCCCAAGACAATAAAATAAAACCAATGCTGTTACTCGCTGTAAAGACTTTTTTTAGCAGCCAGCATAAATATCTATAAAATATTCATCCATGTTGCCCATATTTATAATGTTCAAAGTTTCTACCGCAAGCATCAATCAAACACATTACTCTCGCTCAAACAGCAATCCCACTGCCGTATCGGCCAATTGTCGGTTCTATCATCATCCCCTCCACAAGATCTCCTATACTTGCACCCCCCCCCCACCTGTTGGTTCTATCCCCACCATTCTCTCCCCCAGATCTCCTACTCCGTCGTGTCCCCCCCCCCCCAGATCTCCTACTCCGTCGTGTCCCCCCCCCCCCCACCTGTTGGTTCTATCCCCACCATTTTCTCCCCCCAGATCTCCTACTCCGCCGTGTCCCCCCACCTGTCGAACAAGGAAATTTTCCCCTCGTTCTTTCGTGTGATGACCCCAGAACAAAACCTGACCGTGGCCAGGGTCAAGCTCTTCAAGGAGATGGGCTGGAAGAAAGTTCACACCATCTACCAGAACCTGAAGCTCTTCTCCACGGTCAGTTCTCTGCGTTTATTACATAATTAATTAATTTTTATACTGCTTTATATGTTGATAGTATTTTAGTTTGCATCCCTCACTTTGCGGGCTAATGGTTGAGTAATACGTAATCGACTATGCGAATTTTATCTCTAGTTGGACGAGTACATGAAGCAAGATCTAAGGAAAGAAGGAATCGAAGTGGCGAGTACTGAGATGTTTACAAATGATCCGACCAATAGCGTTCAGAATCTGAAGGTAACGTGACCTTAGGCAGCCAATCACAACCTTTGTGTTTAAGTTGATGTGGGTTTTGTTTTTTTAATACGTTGAAAACTAGTTTTTGTTTTATTTTATTTAAACGTGGAAAAATACATCTAAAACATTAAAACACGTAGTTTTTAATCATCTATTAACATACCAAATTATTGTTTAGTTCAATACTTCAAATTAAAAGTTAGAATTTTTTTTTCTGTCGCAGGAAAGTGACGCGAGGATCATCATCGCCAACATGTACGAGGATAAGGCTAGGCATGTCGTGTGTGCGGTAAGTGGGTACACTGTGGGAACATAGAGGGAACATAATAGGAACACTATGGGAACATAGGGGGAACATAATGGGAACATACGGGAGCACAATAGAAACACTATGGGAGCTTAGAGAGAACATAATGGGATCACCATAGGAAACACTATGGGAACATAAAGGGAAGAAAGTGGGAACACTATAGAAACATTACAGGAAATTAGTGAAACCATATGGGAACACTATAGGAACATTATGAGAACTTATAGGGAACATAGCAGGAACATTATAGAAACATTATGTAAAATTGGTGGGAACACAAAATGGAACCTAGTGGAGAATCACTGCGAGAAAGCTGTGGGAACATATTTGTATATAATATAAGCAAAACTTTAATCACTCTTGGAATACAATGGAAAGCAGTGTGAAGGTGTGAATACAATGAGTTTAAATGTTATCTTAAGTACATTTTTAAATATATGAAAAGGAAGTAGACCTACTTTAAAAAGTTGATACATTGAATTAAGCAATGTAAACGGTTTTAAAATAGCTTAGTGTAATAGTTTTTGGTAATCGTGAAGTAAAAATAGTCAACTTGTTTGTTTAATTAGGGGCGATATATCAACCTGGCATACCTATATGTATCCACAACAAGACTTCTCTAATCCCCGTACTACTTTTTAACTGATAATAAAACCGAACGAAAATTTAGCCCTTCCTGTCCATGACTAAAATTCCCATCCCCCCTCCCCCTCCCCATATTCCAGGTGTACAACATGGAGGCAGGGAACCACGCCTGGTACAAGCGTGTCGTCTGGGTCTTCCAGTCGTTCTATGACCGGCACTGGATGGACGTCAGGGACCCGGCCATCAACTGTACGGTTGACCAGATCAAGCAGGTCAGTTGCTCATGTTTAGCTCCGTCATTGACGGGTAGGTCAGTTGCTCATGTTTAGCTCCGTCATTGACCCGTAGGTCAGTAGCTCATGTTTAGCTCCGTCATTGACCCGTAGGTCAGTAGCTCATGTTTAGCTCCGTCATTGACCCGTAGGTCAGTTGCTCATGTTTAGCTCCGTCATTGACCCGTAGGTCAGTTGCTCATGTTTAGCTCCGTCATTGACCCGTAGGTCAGTTGCTAATGTTTAGCTCCGTCATTGACGGGTAGGTCAGTTGCTCATGTTAAGCTCCGTCATTGACTTGAGTAGGTCAGCTGTAGGCTCTGTCATTGACATAAGTATTTCAGTTTTAAGCTCTGTCATTGACTTCAGTAGGTCAGCTGTAAGCTCTGTCCTTACCACTGATAAGTCAGCTTTATGCTCCATCACAGAAGTAGACGTATCCACATTTACGTCATAAAACTCACTGAGCTTACGTGGACGGTGTTTCTTTGTTCAACTTCAGATGGTCGGCAGCTATTTCACTATGGGTTTAAAGGTTTATTTTTATTGGCTGTTATTTTAATGTGGGTTCAAATGTTATTTATGTATCGGCAGTTATTTTACTGTTGGTTCAAAGGTTTAATTACTTATCTTCGGGTAATTGGCAGCTATTTCACGGTGGGTTTAAAGGTTTATTTTTTATCGGCTGTTATTTTACTGTGGGTTCAAAGGTTTGTTCACATATTGGCAGGTAATTGGCAGCTATTTCACGGTGGGTTCAAAGGCACTCAACAAGGACCCGAACTACAAGGCCGACAACGGGCTGGTGCCTGTCCACTTCGACACGTTACGTAACAGCACCAAACTGTATGAGTACGTATGGCATTTAACACACAAGGCATCAGACACACATATGTCATATGACACTGCTACGTCATCTGACACAGCTATATCATCCAACAAGGATAAACTTTCTCAGTCTCTGTCATAGTATAATTCTATCCTGTCCCTAGCTTCCATATAATTCTCCCCTGTTCTCTATACTAGAATAATGTTCCCCATGCTCCCTTTCATGAAATTATGCTCCTCCTCCTCTTCCCCGTTCCTCAACTTGGTTTCCCTGATCCCTCTCATTTAATGATTTTCCTCCTGTTCTCAGTCCTTATATGTTCCCGTGTCCACAATCTAAATTAATAACCTCACTGCCCACAGAGCCGTTAAAGCCGATATGCCGCCCCACTTCCAGGAATTCTACGCCAAGAACATGTTCCCAGACGGGTCATTCTACGGCCAGCATAGGGCACCAGAGGCATATGACGCGGTCTGGGCTATAGCCATCGCCCTGAAAAACGCTTTAGAGTACCTCAAGAAATCTGGTAAGTATTCTGTGCTCTACTGAAACATTAACGGTCTACCTCAATAAATATGGTAAGTATTCTGTGCTCTACTGAAACATTAATGCTCTACCTCAATAAATCTGGTAAGTATTCTGTGCTCTACTGAAACATTAACGCTGTACCTCATAAAATATGGTAAGTATTCTGTGCTCTACTGAAAAATTAACACTGTACCTCAACAAATCTGGTAAGTATTCTGTGCTCTACTGAAAAATTAACGCTGTACCTCAACAAATCTGGTAAGTATCTATCTATATATATAATTCTCTTCTTCGAGCCGTTAGAAAACAAGCTGCAAACACTCTCCCTACCTCCCCACCCCTACATGGTTTTAGTGAGCTGTGTTCACTCTAAATGTTTACAAGCAGAGCCAACGATTTTAAACGTAGGGGGGGGGAGGGGGGGAGGAAGGGGGGGGGGGGGGGTTATGGTCCTTAACGAGCTACTTATAGTGTTTTAAAGAAATATTTTCAGTGTCAGCGTTGGTACTGTCGAATTCACAAATTATGAATTATTGAAAATTAGAAACAACTAAATAGCGGCGTATGTTATGCCGCGGGCCGGCTCGTTCTTAAATAATATCTCAAAATGGATTTCATTTTCCTTTCACTGAAAGAGGTGGCACGACCACTGTCGGTGAAGACAGATCTAGTGCACAACATGTTCCACACACTTTGTGATCATTCATAAAATTAACTTGCACATTAAAAAAAACATTAAATAATTAATAGTATCAACAAAATAGTAAATGAGAGAATAAACCAAAAAAGTAATGCGTCAGCCGGGAATCGAACCCGGATCGACTGCTTGGAAGGCAACCATGCTAACCTTTACACCACCGACGCGTGCTTCTGGAATGAAACTTATAGTATATCTTATATACCATAGGTTTACAAGATAAAGATATTGTTTATCGATGTTTTTGTTGGTAAGAAATGTCGAAGGATGATAAAGGTTCTATTCCTCCAGATTTTTTGTCTTATCACCAAAATAGTTTTTAAATTAATGTCTGATAACTAGGACACGCTTTAACTGAATTAAACGCATTTATTGTAGGCGCCAGAAGATTATATTTTTATTTTAGTTTATTTTAGAGTGGCATTTCACAGCTGATTACAATACTTGGTGGGGGTTTTGTATTGATAGCGTCAGCTGATTATATTATATTATATTAGGGTGTGCTGTTGTTTTTCAAGTGGTTTCATCCTGTTATTTTTTTTTTTTTGTTTTTTTTTTCCCCAACAGGCGACGGACGAGGCCTAGAAGACTTTAGATACAAAGATAAATTTTTCTCTTCCCTGCTCCAAGACGCCATGTACAACGTGTCCTTCAATTCGTTATCAGGTCCTTTTTTCTTCAATGAGAACGGCGAGAGGACCCCAGGCATTGAGATTATACGATACAACAACAGTAGGTTTATACGATACAACAACAGTAGGTTTATACGATACAACAACAGTAGGTTTATACGATACAACAACAGTAGGTTCATACGATACAACAACAGTAGGTTTATACGATACAACAACAGTAGGTTTATACGATACAATAACAGTAGGTTTATACGATACAACAACAGTAGGTTTATACGATACAACAGTAGGTTTATACGATACAACAACATTAGGTTTATACGATACAACAGTAGGTTTATACGATACAACAACAGTAGGTTTATACGATACAACAGTAGGTTTATACGATACAACAACAGTGGGTTTACTTTCAAAGGGTTGCTGTTTTAAGATCGAGAGGGGGGGGGGAATGAGGGGTCATAAGAATGGCGGGTTGTCTTCTGCCAAAAGGGCGGGATGAACTATTGTTAGAAGGGTGGGTTGTTAATCATCAGGACGGCTGGTTGTCAGTTATCAGAAAGACGGGTTGTCAGTTATCAGAAAGACGGGTTGTCAGTTATCAGAAAGACGGGTTGTCAGTTAGAAGTAGCGCTGGTTGTCAGTTATCAGAAAGACGGGTTGTCAGTTATCAGAAAGACGGGTTGTCAGTTATCAGAAAGACGGGTTGTCAGTTATCAGAAAGACGGGTTGTCAGTTATCAGAAAGACGGGTTGTCAGTTAGAAGTAGCGCTGGTTGTCAGTTAGCAGTAAGGCTGGTTGTCGCATATCAAAGACGGATTGTCTATCATAGGGACGGCGGATTGTACATCATCAATAGGGCGGGTGGTCTATTGTTAGAAGCGCGGGTTGTTTATCATTGGAAGGTAGGTTGTCAGTTATCAGGATGGCGGGTTGTCTGTCATCAGAGGGATAGGTTGTTTATCATCAAAAGTGTGTGTGTGAGTAGGTGGGGGTTTATCATCAGAAGAGTGGGTTGTCTGCAGTTAACTAGGCTACATTACAAGGTATATACATTCAGAGAAAAACATGAAACCCAAGACTTACAGCACTGACCATAACCTTCCCACCTGAAAGCTTACACACCTGAAAACATGATACGTTTTTTACCTGACACTTTGAATACACGAAAACACAGATGGTGCACATCTCCACAGCAGTTTCCAATGACGTATTGTCCGCTAGCTAGACAGTAAAACAGCAATGAAAAGAAACGACGGCGTATATATCAGACAGACGAACATAAAAACTTTAGTTTAAAAAGCTAATCTGTCGTTAATCTGTCGTTATATTTACAATGTAGAGTCTAATGGAAAAACATTTCACTAGTAAGCACAAGTTACATTGCGTTGTTTAAACCCAAATCTGCAAATGGACTTAAATATAATTTTTTAATGATTCTTGTGTTGTGCACTCCCTGATTAGAAAAGCCATACTCCGCTTGTGATATCTAACAATATGTCTGCACTATAAATTCTGTTTATTGGTAGGCATGATACAGCGTATTTATATGTATGCTGCAAAATAATGACCACACCAAACACGATTTCTCTTGCAGATAATGAACACATTAAATGTTCTCATGCAAATATTGTCTACATAAAAATGTTCCTCTTGCAGATAGTGACCACATCATACATGTCTTGCAGATAATGACAAGATAAAAATGTTTCTCTTGCAGATAACGACCATATTAAAACTTTTCTCTTGCAGATAATGACCACACGTTTAACTACCTCGGCGCCTGTCACCTCCAGCAGAAGACAGTCTGGAACTGTACACTAGACAAGGCAAACATTACCTGGCAGACAGGTAACAAATATCTATGAATTATCGCCCTTTTCGGGTTATCTAATTTTACCGATCTTACATAAAACGGATCAACACAGAGAGAGAAATTATGTCTGCCGATTCATCTGAAATTTTAAATATATTTTTTTAAATTTTAAACAGACTTAAGCTTCAAAGTTTTATTTAATGAGAATCTTCCAACTGTTAACACATCTGTATTTTATAATATTTTTTTTAAGTTTTAAAAGTCCCTTTAAAATAAAAACAAAAAGTCTTAATTTATTTTAATGATAATACTTTGTGATATAATACATAATTTTCAGAACAACAATAATTAAGTCCATTTTCTCTGCTTTAAAAAGAGCTCCACTTATGCCCCACCTCGCAATTCAAGGGAGATAAATATTAGTTTAAAAAAAAATAAAAACAGAGACGTGTAATTACCAGGTCAGCCTCCAGTGGATGGCATCCAGACGAAGGCGCGGACCTACCAAACAAACACCTACCTCAAGTCGACCTTCTGGACACTGGCCAGTCTGGGCAACGTTTTAACTCTCGGCCTCCTGGCATTTAACATCGTCAAGAGAAACCACAGGTGGGTTGGACGAGAGAGAGACAGAGCGGGGGGGGGGGGGGGGGGGGGAGATATGGTGTCGTTGTAACATTATGATTACACAAGTTACCTTGGGACCACAGCTTCATAATTATAAGGGGAGATAACTAAGACTTCACTACTTTGTTTGTTTTTTTATTTTTATCAGTTGTCTGCCTTTTGATATAAATAGCGTCACTAAAAACGATAATCATGAAAATGCTAAGCGTTCAATCTATTTTAATGTCTTATACTGCTGGCTGCAATACTTCGGGAAATCTCTTCTTTTAAATTCGACATAAACGAGTCAACTCCTATTTTTATATATATGCGTGGGTGAACCTCGTATTTAAGAGTGCGTGAAGTTATTTAGGTGCAAATTAACAAAACAGAAAGTAATTGTGATCTTCTAAATGTTTCCAAACCTTAGGGTGATCAAGATGTCGTCACCTCGCCTCAACAACGTCATCCTTGTGGGTTGTATTCTGGCCTACAGCACCATCTACAGTCTCGATGCTGAGGACGAGGGGATACAGTCGGCTTGTGTTGTAGGTCATGTGTGGGGGTGTGGGGGAGGGGGAGTGGGGGGTGATTGGAGGAGTGTGGTAGATGGAGTATGATGGGTGATTAGTGGAGTGTGGTGGATGATTGGCGGAGTGTGGAGGGAAATTGATGGAGTGTGGAGGGTGATTTATGGGGGGGTGACTAGTGGAGGGTGATTGGTGGAGTGTGGAGTGTGGAGGGTGATTGGTGGAGTGTGGAGGGTGATTGGTGGAGTGTGGTGGGTGATTGGTGGAGTGTGGTGGGTGATTGGTGGAGTGTGGTTGGTGATTGGTGGAGTGTGGTGGGTGATTGGTGGAGTGTGGTGGGTGATTGGTGGAGTGTGGTGGGTGATTGGTGGAGTGTGGTGGATGATTGGTGGAGTGTGGTGGGTGATTGGTGGAGTGTGGTGGGTGATTGGTGGAGTGTGGTTGGTGATAGGTGGAGTGTTATTGGTGGAGGGTGATTGGTGGAGTATGGAGGGTGATGGATGGAGTGAGGAGGGTGATTGGTGAAGGGTGATTGGTGGAGTGAGGTAAGTGATTATGATTATCATCTACAACCACCCCTCCCGTCCACAGATCAGCTCATTCACCATTGTGCTGAGTTTCTCGCTCAGCTTCGGCGCTCTGTTCGCCAAGACGTGGAGGGTGTACGAGATCTTCACAGCCGGCCACAAGGTCCTCAACACCAGGGTAGGTCCTCAACACCTCAACACCAGGGTAGGTCCTCAACACCTCAACACGAGTGTAGGTCCTGAACACCAGTGTAGGTCCTCAACACCAGGGTAGGTCGTGTAGATCACCTCAGGTCACAAGGTCATCAACACCAGGTTAGGTCCTAAACACCATTGTAGGTCCTCAACAGCAGGGTAGGTCCTCAACACGAGGGTAGGTCCCAAACACCACGGTAGGTCGTGTAGATCACCTCAGGTCACAAGGTCATCAACACCAGGTTAGGTCCTAAACACCATTGTAGGTCCTCAACAGCAGGGTAGGTCCTCAACACGAGGGTAGGTCCTCAACACCTCAACACCAGGTTAGGTCTTGTACCTCATCTCAATACTTGCTGGACCCTCACGTAAACCTCACACAAAACTTAAGCCTAACCGCTAATCCTAGACTGTCTACACCTTTAACCAAAAACCCTAAACTACACAATAGTAGGCATATGTGTACCAAGCTAGCTATTAAGGTTGAAATACAATATTATTTGCAGATTCCTTAAATTCCTTATTCAAAGAGCCCAGTAACGTCTTACTGAGTATTTTGGGTTAGAAAATACTCACTTACATAATATACATTTTACACCACACTGAAACACGGTTTGACAGACTTGCATAATAAACATTCAAACACAGCCCATTAAAACACGGTTTGATTCCACTCCCTAGATGCTGCGAGACAGCAGTCTGTTCCTGATTGTCGGGGTGCTTGTCTTCATCAACAGCACCATCCTCGTGGGCTGGATGATCGCCTACCCTCAGAGGCCCACACTGGTCAACATCAGTATGACCCCGGTACGTCAACTGTCAACTATTTCTTATTTACAACAATAGTTAATGTGGTAATGACATTTGCCCGTATGCCGTTTGACCTATGAAAGTTCGTCCGAAAGTCGGAAGTTCCTCACAAGCAAAAACCATGGCTTACTGTTGTTTTGTAAATGACGGCATTATTTCCTAAATAAGATTGTTTCACTAGATGTCAAAGTATATAGGAGCTCATTTCTATTAGAAATAAGAAATATATTTATTTTTGTACTCTGGCGCTTGTTTGTCTTTGAGTAAATGAAATCATTGTTGTTGAAATGATTTGATTTAATACAAGCTTCAGTTTAAATGAATATCGCCGTACTGATAAAAGTTATGATTATTGGAAAAACCTCCGGCATACAGTTAATTAACGTCACCAAAACTAAACACATGACCCTTGACCTCTGTGTCCCCAGTCGAGTGAGGTCAGTGACGTCCAGTACTTCAACCAGTTCCAGAGATGTGACTCGGAGTACCGCCTGTACTTCATGTGGGCCCTCATAGCCATCCAAGGCGTGGTCATCTTGTTCGGGACCTTTCTGGCCATCCAGACTAGGAAGGTGAGCAAAAGTCACTCAGTGACCTTGGGGATACCGAGCATGACCCACTTCTCTATGACTTTTTAACATAGTGTTGTACGGGTTATATGTTTTTATTTTATTTTTTTGTTTGGTTTTATTTATTATTTTTTTTATTTTTTTGTACTTAATATAGCCACCCCTTCTCTATATCATTATATTATAAGTAGGCTACGTTTTAAGACGTTATATACCGATTTAGTTCTTCCATATCAGTACAATACCAGTACTATGAAAACTAGATGATGGTGACGGCGCCAAACTTCTTTGCCATACCAAACACCTATATTTAAAGAATCTCCATTTCACTGCTAGCGTATCTGGATTGTTACATTACTTGACCCCTGTTGTTGTGTGCAGGTATCCTGCCCAGAGTTGAACGACTCCAAGTGGATCGCTCTGTGCATCTACAACGTCGTCGTGCTCAGCCCCGTCGGCTTGGTCGTCGTCATGGCAACGGAAGACAAACCGGAAGTGAACTACGCTCTGGAATCGTGTATCCTGATTCTCATCACGACGATGACGGAATGTCTGGTATTCGTGCCCAAGGTAAGCGTTACCTACCTGTCTTTACCTGTCCTGTGTGAGTTCAGGTAACCTTGTCAGTGTGGCATAGAAAGTTAGGTGTTTGTGTTCAAGGTAAGCGTTACCTACCTATCTTTACCTGTTCCGTGTGAGTTCAGGTAACCTTTTCAATCTTGAATACAAAGTTAGGTGTTTGTGTCCATGGTAACTTTCATTTACCTAATTTTACCTGTCATATGTAAGCTCAGGTAACCTTGTCAGTGTGGCACAAAATGTCAGGTGTTTGTGTCCAAGTTGCCAATCACCTGTCTATCTGTACTGGGCAGTTTCCTGTGTTGCCATTGTTCTCCCCACCATAAGAAGCTAGCCAGTGGTACAAAGATAATGTTAGGGCGTGGTCGAGTTATAGAGTACTAAACTAGAAAGTCCAGAGTTCAGTCCTCGGCTATAGTCCGATAACCTCTATCGACCAGTAATGTTTACTGGAATCGATACAAAGGGAAATGGTTCACATTATTTCAACATTTTTTTTTCGTTTGCTCCTAAAAGCTGATTGAAATTATAATGGTTTTTTTTCAAATTTTAAAATAAACTTAGGGCATTTTTTGGGCGATTGACGCATTACCATTAGAATTAAAAGATTTTTAATTTTTTTTTATTGATATTATTTATTTTTATTTTTGTGTCATTTAATTAACTTGCTATTGTCGCTGCCCAACATGCCATGACCTGTGATGTTTTTTTTTTCTTCCAGATCCTCTCCTACCGGAGCCACAACAGCAGCCGGACCACGCTGGACATCAAGTTCAAGGTTCGCCGCCCGAATAACGTCTTCAAGCTGTGCGTCGTGGAGAAAAGGGGCAGCGACTCCAGCACTTGCTGCGAGGCCTCCCAGCAGACGGACGACCTTGACCTCTCCTGGGACCGGGACCTCTACCACTGCGACTTCAAACAAGATCCGGGTTCCGGTTCCACGGCGAGCACCGGATCTCAGAATCCCGGTTCGCCGTGTCGATCACCCGGAAGTAGTTTGGCACCGTGCGTCAAGAAATTGTGGACGAAGAGGTCGTACTGCGATAAGAAGACGGACACACACTTCGAGCCCAGCGGTAAAACAATCGACGAAAGGGTGTGTACGTCCAGCTGCTTGAGGGATGAGAACAAAAATAAACTTTACCGCTCCATGTCCGACTCGGACATCCGTCACCATAGCAACGTGACGCTGGGGAAGATGGGGGACGACGACCTGGTGACGGAAAGCTGCGAGCACTGCCGAATCCGCGTCAAGCGTCACAACAAAATCTGGCGTCACCACCGGAAGGACGACGCCTCTGTGCACCCGCCCGGACACCGGAAGCACGGCGTCGTGGTGGACAGGGTCAAGGTGACCGCTGACGTGAAAATGTGGTCCAAGTTTAGGACGCGGTGGCGGGAGGATGACATGGCGCGCGCCGAGCAGATCGGGGAGCAGATCCTGCACCAGCTCAGGGAGACGGTCAAGACGGTGTCCGCTAACGAGGCCAGTGCTTGAGCACGGCGGCTGGTCACTTCCGGTCAGAGGTCGAATAATGAAAATACGAAGAATGCTAGATGTCCGTCCATTCGTTATGTCTATACTTTTTTGATCATTCTCTAACTGAAACACAATGATTACTGCTCTGTGTTTAAAAACTTCGTTAAAAAATAATTCGCCAACGTTTTCGAACTTATAATTACATCTACAGTTCACAGTTATATATTTAAAAATTAACGCGTCTTACTCAGCTTGAAGAAGTATATAATAATCATGGGAGATAACCTAATATAATAAATATACTTCACTAGTTCCTTCCCTTTATACTTCAAGACATTGTGTAAATAATGTACTCATTAGTCTAGCGAACAAATGAATGTTAGGTTTAGCGGTTGATCCATTCCATACAATAAAACAGACTTGAGTGTTCCTTGACAATGTTATAGAAAGTTAAGCGCATGTCTTGCCTTGTTGATTCCAGCCTTAACGTCTTTAGTCGGTACGACCATTATTTTAACTCCACTACCACGATGTTTCACTTTATCTAGTTATTTCTATTTCTTTAATTGTGTAGTTGTTGTTCATAGCCATTACTTCTGGTTTATTTGTGTTGGGTGTCAGGACATGTTTTTGGCTGTATCTACCAAACACTACACGTATTTTTCCAACACCCGCTTTTGACAAATTGTGAGAAGACACAGAGAGATAATTTCTTGTTCGTTTAGTAATTCAGTCAGCCTTCAGTAACAGTACCCAAAGTGAAAGCCTCAAATCTTACCGCTGGTTTAACCGTGCTACGGTCAGCCAGTAATTTTATCAAAATCTATACACATAATTCTCTTCTTGGAGACGATAGAAAACACCAAGCTGTAAGCGCGCTCCCTACCACCCCCACCTCTACATGGTCGGCTCGTAGTTAATAATTAGGCTAATAGTTCTGTAAAAGAAATATTACTAATATTTTAACGGCATATATTAAAACCTAATTCATACATACTGGAGTATGTATTTTTTCAGTTGCGTAACTAGACGTCAAGCTGTTCCATGTTTATGTGATATTTTATACAAGTGTTTTAGTGTAATTTTTAAACATAAATGTATTTTAATTACCTCTTTTAAAATGGCTGGTTTTTACAAGCTTTTATTTAACTCACTTCCTCTGTCGTCAGTCGTCAGTCGTCAGTCTAGACGGAAACGCAGGAGTGAAAATTCGGACAGTTCTACTTGACCGACACGATTCACAGTTGGCACGTGGGTCAAGACATGAAGACAATGCAATCTGAAACTAAATTTTTACAAGCTTTTATTTAACTCACTTCCTCGTCATTCTGTCTGTCGTCAGTCTAGATAGAAACGCAGGAGTGAAAATTCGGACAGTTCTACTTGACCGATACGATTCACAGTTGGCACGTGGGTCAAGACATGAAGACAATGCAATCTGAAACTAAATTTGACTTAATTGGATGCCTAATTGATTTTTTATGAATTAATTAAAATTTGGACCGAATTAGTAGGCATGTCTAGCCAACCACACCACACGCGTCATCAATAGCTGCGCCATCACGACCACGTAATGGCTGCGTTCAAAAACCATTGCGCGCCTACTGAACGTGATATTCAGTAGGCGCGCAATGGTTTTTAGTCATGTAACTCTATTGTAGATAAAACATGTAAAGTACTGAAAAAAAAATTCATAAAAAACGTTTTAATAACAAGCTTTTATGTAATGATGCACTAAAAAGTAGAAAATAAATTATAGACTACTATTTAAATAACTATAAAGAAAAGCGTGGGTGTCTTCCTTAACATTAGTAAAGGTATCCAATAGATACTAAAGTGACCCACGCTTTTCTTTATAGTTATTTAAATAGTAGTCTATAATTTATTTTCTACTTTTTAGTGCATCATTACATAAAAGCTTGTTATTAAAACGTTTTTTATGAATTTTTTTATGGCTGTTGTGAAAATCTATTCTAACTCGTGTTTATGGTATAATATTTATAACAAATGTGTACCCAGTACAACAGTATATTGTTGTTTATTTTTTATATTTTTTTATTACTAAATGTATTGTAGGCAAACAACTTTGTATAAATGTCATTCTATGTTGATTTGTTATAGTTATACACATTGTTGTAGACAATAAAATATACAATTCAATATACAATTCAATATAAAAACTATCTTATCTTTGTGTGGTTGTGCTTGTTATACCGATGTTAAAAAAAAATTCTGTCCGTATGGCGAAGTGTGAACATTTTTTTTTTTTAGACTGCTGATTTTGCTTGTCCAAACGACCAGGGAAACGGCCCATCGCCGATTTAGTTTTTTTAGAACATTATTTTCAGTTTGTAGCAAATCTTGTAACTCAATTTCGATCCACTTCTAATGCACTTCAAACTTTCCAAATAGATTTCACTTCAATGACGATACAAGTTTATCATTTTTAATGTAATTAGATGTTTAACTATTCATTAAAAATTAATTAAACGGGTTCGCAACTAAGGGGAGATAACAAATAAAATAACTCGCTAGACTACTATATTAAACGAGAAAAATGGCCCGTTGAGGAAGGATACAACGGGCGCTAGGTTGATAATGCTGTCTATTTTCTCGGTACTTTAATTTATACAAAATATAGTCATAGGCATATCCCTAAACCATGCACCTAATCTCATTCATGACAAAAGTTGCATTTAGAGTTTCTTTCAGACAACTCTACTTGGGAGGAGGGGGCTTCGCTCCAAAACATGTCCAAAACATTAGGCTTTAATTTTATTATAGAGTATCGATGACGACATTTCTTTTGAGTTGGGGGGGGGGGGGGAGGGGAGGGGTCGGCTTGATACTATTTTCTACTATATGCTAAATGTGACGTCATATTTCGCTTTCGTTTTAGTATGCATGTTTTGAATTTGCTTGTGTTTTCTCTATAGCGTTCATGTCAGATAGATAGATAGACAGACAGACAGCGAAACTATTAGTATTAATAGCAGAAAGGGAGATAACTAGCTAGACGCTATTACTCCACCAGACTGGTGTGCTGTGTGTGTTGGGGGGGGGGGGGAGAGAGGGAGGGGGAGAATAATCGTCTTCACTTTCAGTCTCAGCATTGGTAGTGTCGAATTCACAAATTATGCATTACTGAAAAGTTGAAAATAGAAAAAATATTTTTAAAAAAAAACACCTTTCCAATAGCATGCTTTTAAATGCATTAGAATAAGATAATAAAACTATTTTGCTTTCTTTAATAAAAGTTTTGATTGCTAAACTATGTAAAAAATATCATGAGCGACCAAAGCTTTTATGACAGAAGGCAAATTAGTGCATTTAAAAGCTTGCTAATAGAATTTTTTTTTTATTTGTCTTATTATTAATAAGAGAACTGCCGATTTTGTATTTCTTTAAATGTTAAATCCAGTCATGTGGACTTCTATAAGGACCTGACCCCGTGTTGATGTCATAAATGATGACCCCTAAATATAGATTCCATTGGTGGGTGGTGACAATAGAAACCGGTGTGTCTGTTGACGTGGTTTGTGTGCAGTTTACACGAAATCGCTCATTGTAAAAAATGTGTAGTAACACTGTGTAACGTGTGTTATTGATGGGTGTAGCACAGTGGCAAGTAGAATTCCATCCAGTACCCGTGTTTGTTTTGACAAGTGCCTGGTTCATTGCGTGACACAATATTGTGACATGCGCAGTGGAGGCCATCTGTTAGTGCAGAATCGAGTCATGTGTCTTTGGGAACAGGCGCGTATCCTTTGGACTGAGATCTCCATCTTGAAATTAGGAATTCTAATAAAATGTTGCTCCTATTTCATGTGTTTGGATGACTTATATTTCTCATGGCCATCGAACAACGCCGACCTACACAACAGCATTACATTGACGACGAGGGTTGAGGTAAGTTTTGAATACTGTCATTGAATAGAATATTTGAAATTTACTAGGGCCTACCTTTTTTTTTGTCTTATAAAGGCTGAGAAGGTAATTATTTATAAGATATTTATTTTGTATGTCATCGAACACCTATAGTAAACTATAAATGAGGTATCATATGGCTTTTAGTACTTTATGCCGGGAAATTTGTCTCCAGAGTTTCTTCCAGGCATCTTTTCGGGGGGGGGGGGGGGGGGGAATCGCCCCCCCCCCCCCCCGAAGAAAGTCTACCGACCCCTCCACCCGTACGAAGTGGAATTTCTATAGAAAATATATACTTTTAATAGTGTGCGCCCTACCACCCTAAAATTTAGTCCCCCCCCCCCCCCCCCGCGGACAAAAAAGTATAGAAGAAACAATGGTTGTCTCCTTCCCCCACCCCCAAACATCTTCTTCTTCTTCTTCTTCTTCTTAGTCCTCTTTGCTCCTTATGGAGCATAGGGCCTCCACCATTTCCTTCCATTTCTTCCTATCCTCGGCTATTAATTTTGACATCTCCCAAGACATCCCTATTGGCTTCAGTTCTTCAAGAAGACTCCGCCTCCAGGTCTGTCTTGGGCGCCCTCTCTTCCGCTTTCCCTGGGGGTTCCACTCAAGCGCTTGGCGTGTATCATTTGTGTGAGCCTTTCGCAGTGTGTGACCCACCCAGCGCCACTTCCTCCTTCTTATTTGCACACCTATAGGCTCCTGCCTAGCTTTCCTCCATAGTTCCAAGTTCGGCACTTTGTCCTGCCATCTCAGTTTCAGTATCTGTCTAAGGCATCTATTCATGAAGGTCTGTATCTTTGCTGTGCTTGCCTTGGAGACTCTCCATGTCTCTGCTCCATACAGCAGAACTGCCTTGACATTAGAGTTAAATATCCTAATTTTTGTGGTAATGGAGATGGCCGAACTTTTCCATATGGGTCGCAGGACTGTGAAAGCGCAGCGGGCTTTATTAACTCTAGCGCGTATGTCCTCCTCTGTGCCTCCAGTTTTGCTGATCTTGCTGTCAAGGTAGACAAACTCTTGCACATCATTTACCTGTCTTCCGTCTATTGACACTGGAGCCTCCTGTTTATTGTTAATTCTCATCATTTCCGTCTTTTCTTTGTTGATCTTCAGACCTACGCGCTGCGAGATGGCTCCTAATGCATCAACTTTTTCTTGCATGTCCTGTAGTTTTGAATACTGTCATTGACTAGAATATTTGAAATTTACTAGGGCCTACCTTTTTTTGTCTTATATAGGCTGAGAAGGTAATTATTTATAAGATATTTATTTTGTATGTCATCGAACACCTATAGTAAACTATAAATGAGGTATCATATGGCTTTTAGTATTTTATGCCGGGAAATTTGTCTCCAGAGTTTCTTCCAGGCATCTTTTCGGGGGAAGGGGGGGGGGGGAATCGCCCCCCCCCCCCGAAGAAAGTCTACCGACCCCTCCACCCGTACGAAATGGAATTTCTATAGAAAATATATACTTTTAATAGTGTGCGCCCTACCCCCCTAAAATTTAGCCCCCCCCCCCCACCCGCGGACAAAAAAGTATAGAAGAAACAATGGTTGTCTCCTTCCCCCACCCCCCAAACATGGTTTTCACATTTCATGGTTATGCATTTCTCAAGAATTTTATTTTGTACTTTCAAAATTCCATCAAAGCAAGTAAAAATAAATCATTTTTTTTTTATACTTGTCAATTGCAAATTAGTTTAGTTTAAAAAAGGCGAATAAGCTAGCCCAACTGTCAATTTTTTGTGAGGGTGGTGGGGTAGTGGGAAGGGTGAGGGAATTTATAATTCGTCGATAAGATGACAAAAAATATTACAAAATTATTTCTTTTATTAACTTATTTCACCACAGTTGGATAACGAAACTTCCATTAGAAGTTGTGGAGAACATCTGTGTGATGCCATCGAAGCTACTTAACATCCAATAATCGAGTGGACCCATGATCGAGTGCAACCTTCATCAAGTGACCCATGATCAAGTGGACCCATCATCGAGTGGACCCTACATCCAGTTGACATCATTGAGTGGACCCATGATCGAGTGGACCCATGATCGAGTGGACCCATGATCGGGAGGACCCATCTTCTGGTGGACCCATCATCGAGTAGACCCATCATCTCCATATCTCCATCAAGACGACTCGGCTAGAGAAATTTCAGGTCTGTTGAATGTGTGTACGTCACGTTGTGTTTATGGAATAACATTTCTAGTTTATTGCAGTGTCGGATAGGGTGCCTAGTTTATCGCAGTATCGGATAGGGTGCCTAGTTTATCGCAGTGTCGGATAGGGTGCCTAGTTTGTCGCAATGTCGGACAGGGTTC